TTTCTCTCTGATATGCAGGATGTATTTTCATTGTTACAAATTGAACATAATTAAAGCATAGTTATTAATCACAAAACAATATGTAATTATATATGTGTTTTCCTATGGTCTTAGGCGACCCCTGTGAAAGGGTCATTTGACCCCCAAAGGGGTTGCGACCCACAGGTTGAGAACTGCTGCTAATAATTGGAGCATGGCTAACAGGATCCTCTGAGGGAGCACATTCCTAAAGACCAGGAAGAAGGTCTAGGCCACTTCTTGGATTTCCCACAAACCACATGCTCTCTACCCCACACCCTCACCTACCCTATACCTTCTGAGCCCCCAGGCCCCAGATCAGGGGAGTGTGAAGTGTCTCAGGTGTATGGGGTCGGTGGGCTGGACTGTAACAGCACTTACGAATCATCCATCTTCCATGTGCTACCCTTAGAACATGAGTCACTACAGTCCTGTTTGGGGGCCATTTATTAAGCTTCTTGTATGTCCCAGGCACTGTTTTTGTTCACCTAACCCTGACAACAAGGAATGACAATAGTGTTATCTCTATTTTATAAATGAGAACACTGATTTTTCAGAGGCACTGAAAAACAGTCAGAGCCAACTATGATTTCATTTAATATTCGCATGTATCAGTAATCTAATACTAATGGTTAACTTGTATTGAGTGTTCACTATGTTCTAAGAGCTTCACATGTATAAACTCTTCTAACCCTCACAACAACCCTATGAAATTGAGTGTTATCATCCTTGTTGTTGTTTTTTTTAATTGATTTCAGGGACAGGAGTGAGAGGAAGAAAGCGATAGAAATATCAATGATGAGAGGGCATCATCGATCGGCTGCCTCCTGCACTCCCCCTATTGGGGATGGAGCTCACAACCCAGGCATGTGCCCTGACTGGGAATCGAACCGTGACCTCCTGGTTCATAGGTTGAAACTCAACCACTGAGCAACTCCAGCCAGGCTCCTCCCTGTTTTATAGATGGGAAAACTGAGGTGCAGAATGGTTAAGAATCTTGCCCAATGTTACTCAGCCATCAGCCTCTTCAACCATTCCCAGTAGGTTCAGTTCAGTTCAAGCGTCGATTGTGTACATCCAGGGGAAACAAGACAGAGAGTGGTGAAAAGCATGGACTTAGGAGCCAGCCATGTTTGAATTCAAATTCTAGTTCTAACCCGGATGGGCTGTGTGAATATGGGAAAGTGCATTCGAGAGGAGCTTCGCTGGATGTCCGGCTCAGCTCTCTCCCAGGGCTGCCGGCAAGGTGTCATCGAGGCTGTGTCACCTCAAGGCTCCACTGGGAAAGGACTGCTTCTAAGCTCCCTCGCATGACCCTCCCCCAGGGCTGCCTCCTTCCGAGCCTGGCAGCTGCTCCCCTCAGAGTGAGTGTCCGAGGGACAGCGAAAGGGAGCACCCAAGATGGAAGCCACTGTTGCTTTATAACCCAGTCTCAGAAGCGACATTCTGTGCTCACTTCGGCAGCACATATACTAAAGTTGGACCGATACAGAGAAGATTAGCATGGCCCCTGCGCAGGGATGACATGCCAATTCATCAAGTGTTCCATAAAAAAGAGAAAGTGGCATTCCATTATGTCTACCCTATTCTATTAGAAGCGAGGCACAAAGCCCAGCCCATGCTTGAATGTAGAGATGGACAGGAGGGGAGAGGCTGGGCCACCCCAGACGCTGCCCACCCAGATGCCGCCCACCACGACCAGTCAGTTACTCTCAGCCTCAGTTCCCTTATCATAAAATGGGAATTATAATAGTACTAGAGGCCCGGTGCATGAAATTCATGCAAGAGGATCAGCCCTCACAGCCGCCATGGCTTGCCTCGGCTCTCGCAGTCCCGGCTTCGTCTGGAAGGTTGTCTGGAAGGTTTTCCGGAAGGTTGTTCAGCTGTCTGGTCTAATTAGCATATTATGTTTTTATTATTATACATTTGCCACAGGAGCTCTTCTAAGGCCTCAGTGATGATGCTTACAGAAGAGATGGGAATGCTGCCCAGCAAAGAGTGAGTGCTCAGTAAGTGTTGGTCATTATCCCCACCAAGGCCAAACTACTTGTGGGAAGGGACACTGCCTCTTTCTTGATGGCATCTGTCCCTTCAGTGCCTGCCTAGAGCAGTACCTGGCACTTCCTTTCACTCCACGGCTGCCAGGCACGGAGGGTGACAGTGCAGGAAGTGGGATGAAGGAGGCAGTGAGCACACTGCTCATGCCATTCCCAAGACCTGTGGGAGGAGCCTCCCCCTAAAATGCCAGGATTGTCCTCTGTGAACCCACCAGGGTGTGAGGGTCGAGAGTAACCAGGGGCCTGGTCCCTGCTGACTCTCAACCTACTTCAACCAGAGATGGTCGAGCAGGGAAGGTTACCACCGGGGGCTGGTCCTGGGTGTGAATCCAGTCCTGCTCCTATAGGCCCTGGCTTGGCAGATCCCCCAAACATTGGCCAGGGCCTCCCAGGAGGATCTGGTACAAGGGCAAGGACAAGTTCCAGAATCCTGGGCCACCCACATGTGGTGACAGTAGCTGTTTGTGGCTCCCTGAGGCTTGTCATCAAGGAACAACATGTTGCCCTCTAGGGTGCTTGGCGGTGGTGGCAGCTGCTTGGCAGTACCAGTCTAGAGCTCAGGGGAAGGAGCAGAGGGACAGGGAGGGAGGGAGCCAAGTCCTCGGCGAAGGACCATGAGCCTGGCCAGGCTGCAGACCAGGAAGAGACCAAGCGCAGTAGAGAAGCAATGGGCTGGGCTGGAAGGACACAGACTGTAGAGCCGTGGGTGGGCTCAGGGCTCAGCCACTCGTCTGCCAGTGACTTTGGACAGATGCTTCACTTCTCTCCATCTCTGGCGCCTCGTCCACAAAATGACCTTCCATCTTGCACGGAGGTCGTGAGAAACAGCAGGACACATGTGCAGGCCTGGCACACAGTAGGTGCTCCCTGAATGGAACCATCGCTATTATCAGCAGAGTAGGTGTTCCATAAATGGGACCATCATGCTCAGGGTGAGAGGGTGCTTAGGGAGAGAGAAAGATGGAAGGTAGCCTGTTTTGGTTTGGAAATGTTATTGAAATGTGTATACATATTAAAAAGTGCCCGTATCCTCAGTGTTCA